GATTGTAAGCTTTCGTTTTGGATTTGGAAATACTTATTAAAGTATAATTAGCTTTTGGTGGTTTACTTAGAAAATGATATCTCGTATGTTATGTTTTGGTGAAATCGTAACCGAGGTGTTACATATATACTCTAAAACTGAAGAAGAACATGCGAAACATCTTCGTTTGATACTGGAATTATTGAAGAAAGAAAAGTTATATGCCAAATTGTCCAAGCGTGAGTTCTGTTAAGAGAAGTTCAATTCTTGGGTCACGTTATTTCAGAAGCCGGAGTACAAGTAGATCCAGTAAAAATAGGAGCAGTTGCAAGATGGGAAGCTCCGAAAAATCCTTTTGAAGTCCGTAGCTTTTTGGGTTTGGCATGTTACTATCGTAAGTTTATTCAGGACTTTTCTAAGATAGCCGTGCCATTAACTAAATTGACTCGGAAGAATGTTAAATTCCAGTGGGAAAAAGAACAACAAGAAGCTTTCCAACTATTAAAAGATCATCTCTGTAGTGCGCCGGTGTTAACTCTACCAGATGGATCCGAAGACTTTGTGGTATACAATGATGCTTCAAAGTTAGGATTAGGATGCGTTTTGATGCAGAGAGGAAAAGTGATTTCTTATGCATCAAGACAAATGAAGGATCATGAGAAGCAGTATCCGAATCGTGATATGGAGTTAGCTGCGGTAGTATTCGCTCTAAAAATCTGGAGGCATTATCTTCTGGGAAGAAAGTGTCAGATTTACACAGATCACAAGAGTCTACAACATTTATTCAGCCAGAAATATTTAAATATGCGACAGCGTCGGTGGATCGAACTTGTTAATGATTATGACTGTGAAATCCTTTACCACCCAGGAAAGGCCAACGTGGTAGCTGACGCTTTAAGTAGAAAAAAAAAGAACGAGACTATTAAAACGGTGGCAATGAGAATAAGTTTAATCCCTGATATTTATGAAGAAGTTCTGAGATGTCAAAAGGAAGCTATGAAAGAAGATCTTATCAAATCAGAAAGGTTGGGTAAGATAATTTCAACCTTGGAACCAAATGACAAAGGAATTATGTGTTTTCAAGGGTGAATTTGGGTACCATATTTTGGAGATATCCGAAATATGATATTAAATGAAAGTCATAAATCCTGATACTCTATCCATCCAGGCACCAATAAGATGTATCGAGATTTAAAACCTTTTTATTGGTGGTCAGGATTGAAAAGAGATATAGCTCGGTATGTGGAACATTGTCTGACATGTTTACGGGTAAAGATTGAATATCAGAAGCCGTACGGAAGTCTTCAATCCTTAGAAATACCTGTATGGAAATGGGATCACATCACCATGGATTTTGTTATGAAATTACCTCGAACTCCAAGGGGGTATGACGCGATTTGGATAATTGTTGATCGTTTATCTAAATATGCGCATTTTCTACCAATAAGAGAGAAATACTCTTTAGAAAAGCTTGCGCAGATCTACATCAAAGAAATTGTTACCAGACACGGTGTTCCATTGTCTATTATCTCTGATAGAGATAATCGGTTTACTTCCAAATTCTGGGAAGGACTACAGAAAGCTTTGGGTTCGGTTAAGTACAGCTTATCATCCGCAAACAGATGGGCAAAGTGATAGAACTCTCGAAGATATGTTGAGAAGCTGTATCATTGATTTCGAAGGATCGTGGGAAGATCACTTGCCATTAATAGAGTTTGCGTATAACAATAGTTACCATTCCAGTATCCAAGCGACACCATATGAAGTGTTATATGGACGTAAATGCCGAACACCATTATGTTGGAATGAAGTGGGTGAAAAACAACTGATAGGTCCTGAAATTGTCCAAGAAACTTCTGAAAAGATTGAACAGATTCGTGAAAGAATCAAAACAGCACAAGATCGCCAGAAAAGTTATGCAGATAATCGTTGAAAGCCAATTGAGTTTGGTATAGGTGATTTTGTGATGTTAAGAGTTTCGCCATGGAAGGGTGTCATCAGATTTGGAAAGAAAGGAAAGCTCAGTCCAAGGTATGTGGGGCCGTTCAGAATATGTAAGCGAATTGAGCCAGTAGCATATCAGTTAGAGCTGCTAGAAGAGTTGAGTCTGATTTATAACACTTTTCATGTGTCGAATCTGCGGAAATGTTTGGTTGATCCAAATCTAGCTATACCATTGCTAGAGATTCAATTAGACAGTAAGTTGAATTTTGTAGAAACACCGGAAGCTGTTATTGACCGAAAGATCAGGTTGTTGAGAAACAAAGAAATAAGTCTGGTGAAAATTCAGTGGAAGTTTCACAAAGGACCAGAAGCAACATGGGAATTGGAATCAAAGATGAGATCAGAGTACTCATGGCTTTTTGATTTAAGGAATTCCGGGACGGAATTCTTTTGAGGGGTGGATAATGTGATAACCGGATCCTAGTTATCACCCGAGGTAATTAATATGTGATTATTTGATTACGTGATAACATGATAAATTGATACGTTTGATCATGCTGGTATATGAAAATTAATTGTATAATATGGTTATGTGTATAAGAATATGTATATATGTAGAAATATATATATATATATATATATATATAATATTTTACACACTTGCATATTAGAAAATACATAGTGTGTATGGATGTATGTATGTGTGCATGGTTTTTAGTATGCATGCATGTGCATGAATTGGTTATTATGAAAAGGGGCTGTTAGTCGACTTTCCAGTTCTGGAAATGCATAAAAGGAGGGCTTAGCCTTCATATTTCTTCTTCTTGCCTTTTGATAAAGTTGTGCGATTTAAAGAGAAGTATTGACCGGATTACAAGTACCTGTTTTCAAGTATTTGATTCAAAAAGTTTGTTAAGGTGAATAATTTCTAAACTCTTTTRCATAAAATTATTACTGGTTTTATATGAATCTTGTTTATTTTTGGAAAGAAATCAGTCTTTTGCTCAAGTGTTTTATCCGGGTATTAAACCGGACAAGGCTTGTCCGAATTGTTTTAAATCAGACAAAGGTTAAACGATGTATTGTTTGGACTTTTATCCGGGCAAAGTTGAAATTTATTCTAAGTGTTAAATCGGTCAAGTGTTGGGCAATTAAGTCTTAAATCGCTCAGGTGTTGAACGGTTTAACCTTAAACCGGTTAARTGTTGATCGGGTTATRAKTGGTAAGAATGATTATCTTTTTGAACTGAGAAGTAGGAATACGACCAAATGGTGGCCGGATTATTTTAAATCGGTCAAGTAGTGAACGAGGTATTGTCCGGACTTGTTATCCGGACAAAGTTGTTGAAATATATTTTAAGTATTAAATCGGACAAAGCTTATGCTGTGTGTTGTCCGGATTGTTGATCGGAGATGAAGTCCGGCTAAATCAAGTGACCAGATTTGAAGTTATGTCTTGTGATTTTGATAAGAAATGTTATATTATCATAAAAAGGAAGTTTTGAAAGAAAGGATTTTTGTTTTGATAATAATTTCAATGGCTGCGGTTTATTTGAAATTATTTTGTGAAATATTTTGATGAGGAAATAAGGGTGGCATATCAAAGAGATGTGTACCATGGGATAAGAGTGACATATCAAGGAGAGGTGTACCAAGGGATAATGTGACATATCAAGTAGAGGTGTACATTTGGTTATAAGGGTGACATTTGTATGTGTGTGTAGTATGATATAACTCTTTCTATTATATCCTTTAAGATTACCGTGTTCTGGAATCTTTATTTCTTTGTGATTTAACGATTTAGGATCACAGTTCTTATTGGAAATCATAGTTTGGATGTTATTGAGGAGAAAACATCAGGTTTGGCCTGAAACTTTATAAACCTTATTTTGGTTTAAAAAGGTTTAAAAGTGGCATTATGTGAAACCTGATTGGTTTAGACGTATGGGATTCGTATAATTGTTATATATGAAAGGATGTTTTTCCATAAAGATTTTGATGATTTTTCACCCTGCAATAACATAAGTAGGGTATCTTACTAGACCTTTCGGTCTAACCCTCGTTTGTTGATTTTAACTATGTGTTGCAGGAGGTATGGACAGTAAGGGAAAGGGGAAAATTTAATATTTTCCTATATGCATTTCTGCTTGAAAATCTGTTTTGATGTACAGTTTTGATTATTTAGTACAAGTAATGTATTTGAATTTGTAGACCTTGTATTTGGTCATAATAGATTCTTGTACTAAAGGACCTGAATGGAATGATATCATATATTTCTTTTGTATGAAATATATGTTACATGCAATATATGGTTAAGAGGTGTTACAAAAAAGATTACAAATGAAATTTATTTTAATTAAAAATAAAACATATTTTTAATTTTAATTAAAATAAATTCCATCAGTAAT